GGATGGCATGTACCTTGTTGTATATGACATATTGTGGATGCATGCAGTATAAGTAAATCAGCACGATAAGGATGGCATGTACCTTGTTGTATATGGCATATGGAAATCTTGGCCAGGGCTGGGACGTGAAGATGGAGGACTTTACCAGTTATGCAACCAACACAGCAATTAATCTGCGCATCGTGAGCATAGAAGTATTTTAGGAATCGGAGGAAAGGTCATTGGCAAAAGGGATAGGGGTTTTTTATGTTTGTAAACATTGCCAAATGTGCGGTAGTGAATGGTCGTATACCTTCATACAAACTAACCTTTTTTCTGCTTATCACTCTCATTGCTGTAACGTAGTGTTTAATGGCTTCTGAAGTCTGGTCGAGATGGTGATATGCCACGCCACAGTGAAGATGACATTCATACATCTGTAGGGGAAATGAGAGGACATTCTGGTGTCAATACACCAAAAATTGCAAAACAGATAGACATACAATAAACAAAAACACGCTGACAGACTTAAAGACATAACGACAAACAAGTAAACAAACTTTTAACGAGCTCACACACAAGCAAGCAGACAGACAGACAATTACAAGCAAACAAAGAAGCAAACGAGCAAGAAATAAATAATAACAGGAGAGAACTAAAATTTCCCTGAAAATGAAAAAAAGTTCTATCAAAATGTCAAATTGAAGCAACGGTCGATACAATTTTCGCTTGGAAGGATGCTAAAAACTTACCAACATTTTCAAGGAATTGGCAGCTATTCTGTCGTCATTGTTACTTCCTCGAAGAAGTGTCATTATTTCTTCGTATTTCTTTACTGCCTGTCGAAGAAAAATAACAAATTATTATTATGACTATTTTGGTTTCGCTCGCTATTAATCGAGTCCATTGAAAAAGACAGAATATTATTTAGCACAAAACATCAACACATAAAGACTAACAATCGCGGAGAAAAAATACATATCGATGTTTTTGCACACCAAAATCATATATCGTTTTTATGAAAAAACAATTATACAAATGGAAAAAATTCAGTGTAAAGTATTTACCTGTTTCCATCGAGCTCGTCTCTCGTAGTTTAAAGCGGATACAAAAAGTTCGTTTACTTCCATTTTGGCTTACTTAGCGACAAAATTAAACAAATACTATAGCAAAAACGCTGTTCTTTTTCAAGGAAATAGGACTAGCACTTACGAATCAATTTGAAGTTATAAACTTAAAATATCAATGAAAATGAATTTCTAGTGTGTCAGTCGAAATTTGGTGAATAAAACCATCTCGGGGTAATTGGAGGTTGTGATGTATTAAAGACCGGACGAGAATCCAGGATTTGACTTCCAAATTCAAGTCTTTCATGATTAATTAAGTAGATATATAAGGTATCTTAAGATACCATAGTAACAGATTGTTATAGAGGAAAAATATGTCATATTTGAACAGCTGATAAAGAAGACACATCGTAAATCATTGAACTAGTTATGTACTAGAAAACTGAAAGCGGGATGGATATGATTTCCAAAATGACTTTCTATTTATTCAGAATTGACTAAATCGTCACAATGTTCGAAGGGTAACGCAAAAATTTGATTCTTGAAAGAAAACGAAACTTTTGAAGTCAAGACTGCAAACTATTAGTTTTAATAATTTTACGATCACCCCAAGACACCTGCCCGTACGTGGCCTGCAGGACACTCTATCCGGCTCCTACTGACTTTTTCTCTCCAGAGAGAAATGTAAGGAAAAAAGTACAAAAAAAAAGAAAAAAAAAAAAAAAAAAAAAAAAAAGAACAACAAAAAAAAAAACCCGCAAAAAAAGCTTTGTTTATGACTTATCAATATATATGTGAGGAACCACTGTAATTGCCACATGCTTTAGTATATGTACGTGTGTTTATATATAAAGTTCGTTTGTATAAGTAGGCGTGGGTTTTTAATGGTAAAGCTAAATAAGTAAACAAATAAATAAACAAACAAACAAACAAATAAACTAGTGATGCTTGAAATACCTTAGTAAAAGAAAGAATTGACATGCTAAAGAGAGACAGAAACAATGGAAGGAAAATGGGAAGAATAAAGTAGAAAGATGGGCAATATAATATATACTGAATTAAATACATAAATTAAGGTTGACATTTAGGTACATAAAACTTTTATATTGTCTTTAAATTTTTCATACAGAATCTCAAGTTCCTTAGTCATTTAGCAAAGCAAATCGGCAATACTGTAATTACATACGATTATAAAATTGAAATTTATAAGACACTATAAGAAAGATCAAGAAAAAATGATTAGTATACTCTTAATGATTTATTATAACAAATTGTTGTGTTTAATAATTGTTAGTTGATAAAACAACTGATTATTGCAAATATCTCAATCTAGTAGACTCATGAAGGAACTTTATGAATGGCTGTAGTTACTTTGTCTTGTGATTTGATAAGCAAATTACTGAAAAAAAACAAAATATTGTTTTCCATTAATTAGCTTTTCATGAAAGAATTAGAGTGAAGGCATATAACCTGTGAAATAAGAAATACTAGTCAATGTGTAATAGTCAAATAGACACAAAAGAAGACAATGGAATAAGGGTCTACTAATGAGTATTAGGCCTAGGGCAAACGTCGAACTTTCCATGCACCGAGCTCATTAAAAACAATGGATATCAGGTGATAATGAGGCAGCATTCTTTGATGCAATTAAGTTCGGTGCATGGAAAGTTCGACGTTTGCCCTAGGCTAGGCCTTAGTCTAATATCTATTTCACGGGTTTAATGACTTCACTCTAAAGGCAAGTATAAATGCATTTCTTAAGAGAGTACTCTCAATGCTTACCAGGCATCTGATTCCAGACAAATAACAGGCTGAGGCTCGATCTCTGGGTAGAGCTTCTTCGCAGATTCAGTTAAGCTTGATATTGGTCCTGCATTAACTGGGTTAGCTGTGCCTTTTGCTATAAATATCATAAATTAGAAAAAAAGATTTTAAATCCTGTGATCCAAAGCATGGAACTACATTAGGGGAGGGGAGGGTAGAAATTGTGACAGAGGGTAAAATGTAAGCAGCAGAATGGACATCTGATTTCTGGTTGGCACATGCATAATAAAAGTTGGAATCGGAATCATGGGTGATGTGTGCTGCTAATGTGTTGTGTCTCACCAACTCCTGGCGGTCTCGGTGTTGCATGTAAGTTGAGTTCGTTTGTAGGTTCTCTCCTGTGCTTTGAGGGTTTTCCAGGTTCTCCGGTTTTTCTCCCTCCGCAAAAACCAACTACTAATTTGATCCTAGGAGATTTTCACAATAGGGCTAACCTCAATATCTCCTTTCACACTCACTGATGCAAATAAATTAGTGTGTGTCATAGATTTAGATCTAATATAAGAAGAACTTAACAGAAAGAATTTACAAGAGAGAGAAAGAGAAAGGAGAGAGATACAGAAAGAGGGAGGGAGGGAAGGGAAGAGAGGGAGAAAGAGAGTAAGAAATGGAGCAAAAGGCATTTTTTTCAAAAATAAGCATGTACCACATGACTTGACGTGAAAATATTTAAAGTTAGGATGTCCAAATGCAATAGAGTGAAGTCATTAAACCCGTGAAATAGATGTTAGACTATAAATACACTTTAGTAGATCTAGACCCAAGACAGGCAACCTAATTCCATTGTTTTCTTTTGTGTCTWTTTGACTATTACACGTTGACTAGTATTTTTTATTTCACGGGTTAAATGCCTTCGCTCTAATCCGTTATCAATCCTTAACATAATTCACAAGAAATGATAATCTTTACCTGTTAACGCCAGCCCTTGCTCATCTACACACAGAACACCTATCACTCCATGTTCTAACATTCTGACGAAAAATAAGGAGCAAAAACTTAATAAATACAGATAAAATCGTCCCTTAAGGCGTAAAAGGTCCTTCACGCACTTACAATTCCTCAACGTGTGTTTCTAGAGATTTTTCCATATTTCAAAAGCAGTTTTCAGACTGTATTTCACAAAATGCAACTACAACCACTAAGTCTTGTGACTTTTTGAATTCTTTAAAAGTTAACCGCTGAACAAGAAATCGTGGACTCTAAATTCACATTGGTCAAATCTTCAATCCATTATTGGATTACCCTTTTAAGCGATGCTGATTTTATTTTAAAAATGATTGATTTTAGCAAAAAAATGTTTTCTCTGCCTTTATTTAATAAATAGATAGTCAAAAAAAATCTTATATCTTAAAAAAATTGGTAAATTATGTATAGAAATTAAAATCTATATCGAGCCCATTATAGTTACTTCTGCTTGTAGCAGATGAAAAATTAAAAAGAAAAAAAGGAATAGAAATTAAAGGAAAGGAGAAAAAAAGAAAAAAGTAAAAAAATTGAGAGTTGTGACGTCATTTGATACCACAGGGAGCCCACCAATTATTCATATATATATATATATATATATATACATATATAATTTTTTGTTGACTTATATATTCCTACTTATTCTTAATCTTAATAGTTTAAAGCAATTATTTATTTTGTGTTGTTTTTTTTAACTCTTTCTATTTTTAAAGATTACATAATCATTAATGATATATTCCAATGCATGTTGGGATTTTCCCGCGCCAATGTTAAACACGGATCATATGACAAGCTAGTAAGAAACGCAATGGTGGGAGAAACTTGCGCAAAATGTCGGTAAGTTTTCACGTAAAAATCAGGGCCATTGAATCTAAATTAACAATGAATGCATTATTTTATTCATACTTTCCACCTCTGGTGTAAAATAAGAAAAAAATTCATGGGTTTTAGTGAAATATTTGCGTTTAATTGAAAGACATTGACGTTTTCGTGGCGCCTTGTCTTCGCTTGTTTTCAGTGTTTTGCAAAATCTACAGGCTTTTTCTACCGCATTATTAGCTTTAAATCTTCACAGAACTGCATAAATTGTATTAATGCGTAAAAGTAATGTTAAAGTTAATTCAAACTGTCTTTAAGTTTAAAACTACTAGGTTTTTTTCAAGACAGAGAGAAAGAAGCAGTAACACATTTCCTTAGACAATGGGGGGAGCACTCAAACTTCAGAAGTTTCAGCTCATAATAAGCGTAATAGGAGAAATGGCATTAGATATAAAATTGAATGTTTTATAAGGATTTGTATAGGAAAATGCGCTGGATGGTAAAAGCTTACCAGCTAACACTTTTCCCATACAAATCCTTGTAAAATGTCAACATTTAGTCATATAGTCAACATTTCAAGCTGAAACTTTGCCCTCTTGCTTAATATGAGGTGCTATTTTCATTTCTGGAGTTAAATTTTGACTCATTTGCTGGTTTTAAGGGGAATGGGGTCACAAGAACTGTTAGAGCAAGTCATCGATTTTTTTCTTACATCCAGCTGAGCAGTAAATTTTGTTTCTGCCAATCAGTGTGTTTTGCTGTTTTGCCACTGGCCCTCATTCCCAGTCTTCTGTAACCCAACTTTTGCATATTTTCTGATTTCTTTTGACTAAGATATAATTCACGTGCCTACGAGAAGAAGAAATATAGAAAAGAGGAACGAAAACAATTTCATTTTACCACCATGTTTGCTTCTTTCTTTCAAGATCCAAAAATGCTTAGGGCCAGTCATTTTGTCCACTCATGCTTTGCACGCCGCGTTCACCACTCAGCTGGATAGGTATCCTCACATACATTGTATATTCATTCATTCTTATTGTAGTCATGTAGTGTGTTAATTGATTGACAGTTCTGAATGCAAGATTATCTAAGAGAAGCTGAGTGTGCTGGTGATGAATTAATTTTTCAAGCTGAAATAGGTATTGCTTCTAATTTTAAATAATGCTGATTTGTGCCAAATTTTTGCATGAACTTAATGTTAAACTTAATATAGACTGAAAACACTGAACCTAATAAGAAAACTTTTTTGAGCATGTTGGATGTTTGGGATTGGATTACCTGTTATACAGTACACCTATTTCGAAGATCAATGTCGCACCAAGAGCCTTAAGTAACTAGCCAGGGCTCCAGAGAACGTTAGTACTTTTAATTATAATTGATTTATTCATGGTTTTAAATAGCTCTACACTAATTATCATCTCAAGTAGCCTTGCTTGGAGCAATTTGTGAAGTCAATAAATGAAAATGCACCATTAATAAGCTAATTACAGCTAAAGGTACCGGTGTTCTCTGCGGTCTTGGCTTGTTGCTTGAGGCTTTTGGTGGGACAACGATTTCTGAAATAGGTGTATATACTCAGCCATCAAGTTTAGTAACAGGATTATTTTTGATTGTTGTCACTTTTTATTTTTCAATTATTCTGTATGTACATGTAGAACTGATATATGAATAAAACTCTCTTTTGAGAAATGGATATACTCCTTATTGATGAAAGTATAAAACTTGACATCTAACTAGTTCAAGTCCTAAAGTTGATGGTCGGGTACATTGCAGGAAGCACAGTCCCAAAGATCCAACTGTTCTTTTTTTGGACCATTTCTCAGACGTCATCCGCTGATATTCCAAGAAGGGACTTTTACTAAATATGTATGTTTATTTATCTTACAGGAATTATTCTTTGATAGTGAGAGTATCTGCAGTTCAGATCCTCTTTCATCTATTGAAGAACCAGACTTTGGAGAAAACTTAAGCGATGATTCATTAAATAGTGAAGACATCTTTCCATTATCATATAGTGAAGAAGGATGGAACTCTTCTGATGATCACTCCTGTGAAAGCTTTAATATGTCAGCAGAAGTAGTCGTGAGTGATGATGATGATGTTGTGGTTAATAAGGATCTCAAGAGAAAACCACATAAAACATCTCGTGGTAAAGACAAGCAGTCATCGATATTCATCCCTGATGGAGATTATGGTGATGAAATCATCTTTGTTGAGCCAGAAAATTATTCTCCCAGGAAGAAGATGAAACTTGATGAAGAGAAAAGAACGGCAGCCGTTGATAAGTCTTCTGTAGGAACAGACTCTGAGATTGCAGTCACATTTGCTAAAAAAGGAATTGAATTCCCTCATGCAAGAGAACACTGCAGAACTAAAACATTTGTTCAAATTCCTTCAGTGACAACAAAGTGCTCAAGCAATGAGGAATTTTGTGACAAGTGCTATTGTTATGTCTGTGATGACCTCTCAAGCAAGGTGAGCTTTTAATTTCAGCCAATGCTTTTATTTATTTGTACTTCCAGAAATTATTCGTAACCCCTGACCTCCCCTATTCCGGAAATTCAAATTTTCTTCCATACAAACTCTTGGTAATTTTTTTCTCTGGCCCCCGCACCCCTGGGAAATTCAAAATTCTTCCGTGGGGGGGGGGGGGGGGGGGGGGGGTACAGGAGAAAGGTAAACTCATACCAACACGGCAAAGGTTGTTAGACAAAAAATTTTTAAGGGGGGGGGGGGGGGGGAATGGATAATTTCTGGAACTACACAATGGGTGAAAAAATTCAGTACAAATATTTATTTAGCCACTTCCACTCATCTGCACTACCATTACATTCTGCCATTACCATTGATTACTACTATTAAATTCCATTAGGCCTAGGGCAAACGTTGAACTTTCCATGCACTAAACTTAATTACATCAAAGAATGCCGCTTCATTATCACCTGATATCTATTGTTTTTAATGAGTTCGGTGCATGGAAAGTTCGACGTTTGCCCTAGGCCTTTACTCAACAATTTTTATAGAGGGAGGAAAACCAGAGTATATATATAGCTCTTATTAACCGAGTGCAAGGTCCGTACCGTAAGTTATGGACCGAGTTTTTTCCACTGCCTTATGGCCCAAGCGTGTAGCGCGCGGGCCATAAAAAAAGTGGAAAAAACGAGGATCCATAACTTACGGTACGGACCGAGCAAACGAGGTTAATAAGATATTTATTATATGGCAAGGCCTTGAGATCAAAAAGAGGTGAAGCAACAAAAAGTAAAGTTGACAGCGCATGTCAAACAAGAACTGCATTGGAAGGGCTTCCTGTACATGCCAAAAGTCATGTAGTGTTTGAGTCGCTCAAAAAGAGAATTTTTAGTTTACTTTGAAAGAATTTAGCTAAAGTTTAAAGTTTTCTGAAATACTAGTTCAAACAAAAGCGAGGCTTTATTTTGCAAAACATATAAATGTAAAGCAAAAAAGGCATCAAAAGAAGACCTCGAGAACTCAACATGAGATTGAGAAGAAAACTGTCGTACTTCAAACTTCAAGATATTCACAACCAAAATGAAAAATACTACAGCCTTCCGCTTGTTTTCCTGCCTTTTATTTGAGAAAAAACTCAAAAACTGTCTCCAGAAATGAATGAGAAGCTTTGGAAAATTACGGCTGGCTGAACATGGATAGTTTTCGTCAATTTTCGACGTTTTGACTGTTTGAAGCAGGCCGCCATATTCACAATGGCTGAAGTCATGAAGACGGCACACTTTCGACTCAATTAAAAAAGGTACTGCCAACTCTCCTGTCTAAAAATACATTCAAATGCAAGTGAGGGTGAAATATTACTGAAATATGGAAATACTTCAAGAGCGGATGAGCCTAGAAAACTGCTTAAAACGTTTACGAAAGAAACTACTGGCTTCTTCACCCGATCGATTCAGATAAGTTCAAACTGGACGTTGTTAGCTCAGTGAAATCTTTATTCCATTTACTGAATTAGCCGCTGTTCACCACCCTTTAGTTCGTAGTTTGACATAGTTTTAGCTTTAGCATAGTTAGTTTTTCTAGTTTTTTCTAGTTGTACAAAATCGCTCAACTAGTGCCTTGTAGAACCTTGATCGAAAGAGTTTCGCTTGTATGAAAGAGCTGTCGCTTGTTTGATAAGTTTTACATTAAATGCCAGTGACTTTCAGTTATCTTTAATTATCTATTGAAGGTTTTCCGACGATTTTCATCCAGAAATATATATTTTTTGATAAAGATTTGAATGTTTTAAAAGATCATAAGTACGTACACTCAGTGAACCATTTCATTTTTCGGTCCGTACCGTAAGTTATGGACCGCAAATTGACCAATCATAGCGCGTGAAATTACCTTGCCATATAATAAGAGCTCTTATTGTTTATCAGTTGCACTGCACAATGCAAGTTATTGATATTATTTCACCCCATAGTGTGAATTGTGGAAGACGGAAGAAAAGCCGCATTGCAATGCATATGCAAAGCATGCATTCTGGGAAAGGGAAAGAAATCTACACAAGAGAAATTTAAAGGTATGGACCTGGTTTATTTGTAACCTTATTTTTTCAATCACACAATATTTTTGCAATGATCTAACAAGGTTTTCATTAAGTTTTGAAATAATAGGGGAAAATAATGAACTAGCCAGAGTCCTGGTAAAGTTAACACAGGAAACCCAACCTTGACATAGGGCTTTCTCCTGTGGCAAAACTACTATATTTTCCAATTTAAGCCCCCTTAAACTTGTTAAGGTTCTGCATGGTTCTTATTGATTATTATCATACTGTATTAACCCTATGGCCCTGCTCGCATACTCTAAAAAAACCTTTGGAAAAAGTCATGGGATGAGAGCCTGATGGGTTGATATAAGCCGGCTGGAAAAACCAGTCCGGCCTTCTCTAGTTTATGAGCTCTGTATTCATCAATTTTAGCAGGATTTTTCAGCCTTTTTTACAACAAAAATTGGGTCATATTTGGCTTGCTCTCGGTCTGTTCCACATGACCTTGAGCAAAATATTTTCCTATATATAATTTTTGTTGTCTAGCCCTTCCACTCAGTCAATAAGTACATATGATTATAGATGATTTTCACCTAGTTTATTTCAATGGTAATCAATTTTCCTTTCAGAAATTTAATTTTGTCCCAATTCTGACACTTCTTGCGCCTGAAAAAATTAATCAAGAGATGACCATAAGTGGTACGTGTTGAACTCAGTTCAACTTCTGAATGATTATAATTTCCTAGGAAATTGAAGTTAGAATTTCCTAAATTGAGGTTGCGTAAAGAAAATAAATGAATAATATAGAATGTTTATACCAACCCTTCTGTTATGAATTTCACTGAAGTCGTTTTTCAAACCAGGACCCAGTTGTTCAAAACCTGATTTGTGTCAATATAATACTTACAAATAATTTTATTAATACTTGATTAGCACTAATAAGGCTTTGAACAACCGAGCCCAGAAAAATATCATATTGTCTCAACTACAACTCTGCCCACAAACATCACCCTATTATACAGCATTCCTTTCTCTCTGTGTCAGCATCCTTTTGATATTTTTCTGACTGACAGGTTGATGTTTGTGGGCAGAGTTGTAGACTTTTGATGGTGTGACTCTGATATACTTTTCTGGCGCAAAAAGGAACTTCAGTGAAATCAGTAGTAAGATTTTTCTGCCCCTATCACTAAAAATTCTATTTGCTGTGTGTATCGTGTTTGATATTGACAGCTGTCTGTCAACCTATCTAACTCTGGGCCAAATGTCTGACCTTGTCATGTTACACTTTTCTGTCTTTATGGATTAATTTTCTCAAGCAATAAAGTTATTTGCTTTATTTTGCATGAGAATATATATGAAATATGCATTTGTACTGCAGTTGTAATGTATCAAATTGAGTTGATCCTCCCAGTATGTGAAGCAACTTATGCAGCTGCAAATTGAAAGACTCAGAAAAAATATGAATCTTGATTGGGATTTGAATCCGTGCCCTTGTGATTCTAATGCCATGCTCCAACCACTGAGCTACCAAGTCTTATATGAGACTTCAAAGACACATTGGGTGGGTTTATCGGCCCGATAAGAAAGATATATATGTGTATGTAAATATATATGAATTATATATTTGTACTGCGGTCGTAATGTATCAAATTGAGTTAATCCTCACAGTATATAAAGCAACTTATGCAGCTGCAAATTGAAAGATTTTGATTTTTGATATTTTGATTTTCTCTGCAGCTGTTGTGTGTAATAGATATGTTGATGAAATCCAGGAGGTTTCAAATTCAACTACTAATGTGTGCTACTGTCAGGTTGACCCTTTACTTAATCCATTTGGTTGTCAGGCATGTAGATGGGAACGTGGCTATCTCAGGTTAGAATCTATAATAATATACCTTGCGTATGTCTGTAGTTTTTAAAGTCGCAAATGGAAAATAAAACGAGTTTTAGATACCAATAAACCTTTTACTGTGCTACTTGCATTACTGTAAATGCTTCTAAAAGTTTTTGATTTCTTTTTTACGTCTTTTTAACAAGTTTTTGACAAGTCTTAATCATGCTCTTTACCACTGCCCGCTAGGATGTTTTGACATCGTCACATTGATGTACAAACTCTGCTTATCGAAATATCAAGGTGAAGCGCTGGTGTCTTATTGGTTTGCGATAAAGAGAACAATTATTAAAACTTTAAAAAAAAAAAAAAATGTAAACTTTAATTCATTGGGTCTAATGTTTTCCCATTTCAGACCTTGTGTCATTCCCTAGAGTATTCTTTGTCTAATGGTTTCACATGAGAAGACACATGAATATGGATACAACTCAAACAAAGAATGTTTCTCAAGAGAATGACACATGGACTGAAATGGAAAATTCCATGTTTTTGGCGGTGACAGTGGTCGCACCATGTTTTGGTTAATTGATTGGATGGAGAGTAAAATAATATTTGTGCAACCTGATATGGTTGGTCTTGTGTACAGTATGTCTTTCTGTGACTTTGTTTATGCCACAAGCTTTTCACATTCATACAAAAACTGTTCTGTTTTATACACATATCTAAACACAGTTGTTTATTTGTTTTCTGTTCAAAGTTTGCAGAATAAATCTAAAATGCAAGGGATTGTGTTGAATGCAACAATTGAAGTGGAGAAACATTTACAAAGAAAACAACCTAATCCAGCTATTGTGATCCTGGATACAATTACCTCCTTGTTACTTGGAGTTGACATCAACAGGTATGTACTTGTAAATTAAGGAATTTAAAATTTTTATTGGGAGGGGGAGTGTGGGGGATTCCGATTAAACTCTTTAAAAAATGGTTGTAGTCACTCAGTAAGAAATCCATGGTCATCCCATGAAGTCAGTATAAACCAGTTTTTGCCAAAATTAAAAAAATTGACCTTCCATGAAAATTAAAATTTGTACTGACCTTCCCTTAGCTTCTGAACCCTTAGCCCTCCCCCCTCCCATTTCATGATGACGTCACATCAAAACAAACTATTGTTTTAACACTAGGGATCATGGTCGCTGGAGGGCGATGGAATGAAAACAACACATTTTAAATCACAATGAAATTTGGTTTATGAGCTGGTGAAGGCAAGAACAACTAAATATTATGCTAAATATCTCGAAAGAAGAGAATTAAGCTAAAATTTAGCCTAAATTTCTACCATTTTAGCCGATGTAAATAAACCATGACGTCATTATGAAATAGGGCAATTTAAATGTTGTCCATTATAACAAAGTTAGTCTCTACATGTCTTTTCCTTTGCCATCTATTTAATATACACTAATGAAGCACGGGTGGCGTAGCAGTGTGAGCACTCGCCTCACATCAATGCGACCCGGGTTCGAGTCCCGAGCTCGGTGTTGTGTGTGAGTAGAGTTGTTTTTTGGTTCTCTCCTGTGCTACAGGGTTTGCAGATTTGTCTCCATCTACTTATCAAACTTAAGGCCAGTATTAAGCACCAAACAAGTGCTATGCCATTGACTATGTGATTGTCATGCAGATGTGAATTACTTTTTCCTGTTTGACCAAGCAATGATTTTGGTTGATGGCAGATGTTAGAGCCCTTAGGAGATGTAGAGGGTGGATGGGAGTTAGGAAATAGAGGGAGTAGCTTATAGTCTATTTGGACACTCAAATCCACTTGTTATTATTTAATTATTCTTCCATGTCACAACGGCTGACATGACATTTTGACACACAGGGTTCATGCTACTCCTTAAACTCCTTGAAAACTCCTTGAATTTAATCACTTGAAAAGCTCTTGAATTTTACGATTTTAGCGAAACTCCCTGAAAACTCCTTAAATTTTTGCTTTGATCATTACTTGCATGGTTCTGAAATAGATCTAGTCAGAAAGATTGGAAAATCTGAAAGTCGGCCATGTGCAACCACCGTGTAAAACCTTGGCATAGTTAGCTGAACATACTCCTTGAAAATTCATTTTTGGGTCCTTGTATACTCCTTGGATAGTCCTTGAATTTTAAGTGGTTACCTCAGCATGAACCCTGGACACATCCCCGTAATTTAAGGAGATTAGTTAGTGACCTCTTAGTCTAAGTCCCTACTTATAAGGTTGTTGCTTTTTTCATTCCAGCAAGTACTCGATATTTATTCCAGAAAAAGATAGTTCAAGGTACATGTATTGCTATGAAATTTTGTCATTTCAATTTTTTCCACATGCGGATTATTCACAGTTGAGTACTACAGGGCTTGAAATAGCGGCCTATCAATGGCCAAATTTAAGGCTTGGCAGGCAAAAATAATTTTGAACTGCCCTAATGCATCTCGCTAAATGGATAATGAAATTGCAGGTGAAATCTACTGGACATCATCTTTCACTGTTCTTTTTCTAGTGATTGTTCCCATTCACAAATGAATTTCTGCCAATCAAATATATTACCGGTTGAAGAGCATCCCTCAACTTAAGCTCTTCACAGTAAAACCCTCCTTTTAGTACATATCATCACTCTTTTAATTTGAATGCCCTGACAAAACAAATGTGCTGCTCAGAATATTGATTCAGGAGTCTGAAAATTGTGTAATTATATTTTGTCAGAAGTCTTGCCTATTTCATGTGGCATGCCATGAAAATGAATAGAGCATGTGCGGACATTTTTCACTCTTGCCCCTGGGGACCAGAAAAAAAGATTTGAGATGACAGGAGATTTGAGATATCAGGGTTTTCAGGTAATGGGAACACGCTGCATAAATATCTTATGGAACATATAACTAATAACAATAACGGAGTACACGCATGTTATGCACGTGCTACTGTGACATACATCTAGGCTGTACTGTATGTTAATGAAATATTTATTGTTTCCAAAAAAAAAATCTTTTTTAGGCTTACTTCCTTATGGATTGAAGCTGCCTTGAATAGGGACGCTGACCAAGATTTATTATCCAAAGCTAAAGAACGCCTTTCTAAATCAGTGAAAGATAGCACAAGTCAGCTATTTCTCCCTGAAGCAAAGAAAATTCATGAGTAAGGATACATTCTTTATTGTCAGAGACAAAAAGAGGTTGCCTATTGAAAATCATATTAAAGAGATCTCTTTCTTTTGCAAATGAAGTCGAAACAACAGGACAAACAACCATTTTCTGAAATCCAGTGGTTGATTGAAAACTAACTGGCGAAAGTTAATTCATTTAGTTAATTTATTTAACTATTTATAGTTAATTTGTTACACTGTTACCTTGACCTTTTCTGAGATAGCAAACATCTTGTGTTTATTGTGCTTTATTTGGTGTTGTTTGTAATGAAGAATGCAGTCTAAAAGATTTATATCTGCATTAACTATTGCACTACAAATTAAATTACACTTTAAATGTTTGGCTTCAGTACTGAGTAACGCCAAGGGGCATGATGATGTTGAAGAGGAAAGCCTTTACAATCAGGGCAAGGGTCACTAATTATTGTGCAGCAAATAAGGAGAGGCATACCATGGAATCCTGTATACCATGAGGCACCATTGAATTAGATATTCCATTGTATCTGAGGAGACAGCATTGGTTATACCACACCACTGAAAAATACCTAGAACATAATGCCTGATGGAAAGTAACTCTCAGTGGGATACTGCCAAATACACAACAGTTTCCTACATTCTGATTGGCTGTATTTTTAATTGTATGCTATTAGTATTAATATTGAAATAATTGGTCTCTAATCTTATTTGTTTCTGATTTAACAGAATCTTATCAGAGTTGAGGCCATATGATGATCCCCTTGTAGTAAAATGCCTAATGAAAAACTACAAGGGGAGTAGTGGTTTGAAAGAATCTTACGAGGTTACTAAAGTAAGACTACAGTACTTCAAGGCAAATAATAAGTAAGTTTTTCTAGATCATAACAATTATTATCCTCCTAGTATTCAGGTGTTATAGGGTCATCATCCATTGCTTTGGGGGGGGGGGGGGGTGGAGAGTTGCATAACAACCCTAAGGACATCTGCATAGGAGGGTAGGATCATATTGGCCTCCTAGTATTCAGATGTCATAGATGCCATTTGTTCCCGAGCATGAACTTAAATTTTAAAAATAAAGATTACCTGTTTTATTTGACAACCATTTGCCTCAGGTTTAGTGATTATCGATGAATGTTCAACGAGCCACGAGGTGATAGAAAATAGATACATGTACAGTTTATTTCATATTTTGAAAGCAGCATTCATCAACAAACAGTATGCATGTAATCCTATATTCAACTGTGCGTGATTATCGTGAAATATTGTGAAATACTTAGTTTGAAATCTGAAGGTCACAACCAATCAGCATGTACGGTTTTCTCTAAATACCTGGGTCATTATATTAAAAGGTTTCACAAGAGTTCAATTTACTTCTACTTTTGCTCTAAATTATTAGGATCTCTGAAGCTATCAATTATATCCTTGGAGTTGAAACACCTGGCGTCAACAGCATGCTGTGTGATTATCATGAACTCAGAGATGAACTGGTTGATCTGCTTATTACAAAAGGAAGAATGCAAGAAGCTTTGACTGTGTGTAAAACCCACTTTTCAAACAAGCTACCTACAGATTTACATGTACAGGAAAAAACTTCCAATGGTAAGTAGGTCATGATTAGTAGTATAGGGAATGGGGGTTCCAGCGCAATCTCAACACGGGCAAGACCCGTGTCAAAAATCCACCTACGGAAACAACCCCACTCAAGTGTGGTTGGGGGCAACAGCGCAAATATGTTAGT